TATGTTTTATTTCTGTTTTCAAGTCAATAATTCGGCGAGTGAGAAGCTAATGCACACAACTACGGGCAAACAGGGCTCAATACTCACGATCGTGCCGTGGGTGCTTGTATTCTTTGGCCCGAAGATCAGGGCTCGGAGTAAGATTGCAAGTGTAAGTTGGGTTAAAAGTTTTATTTTGAGTGTTTATTTCTTATTTAGTCTGTCTTTTCTGATCCTATTTTCATCATTTGCTGATTACACTTTTGCTTCTCTAGGAAATCATGACTGAAGGTGAATGAGAGATGTGGATTTAATAAAGAGATAATACTACTGAGAGTCAACTAAGTAGAGACTGCTACATTCTCTGTTAAGTGACATAGATTTGCACTTCTTCTGAATGGGTATAGATGGGTATATGAGTATCTAGATATGTATATACAGTATAAATGAGAGATATTGTCTAAATCGCCTACTAATTATATAGTTTTTGAATGTTTTTTAGCAATTTTATTTCTTGTATTCAGGGGATTTTTTTTTTTTTTTTTTTTTAAATAAGTATATAATTTTGCTCATAGATTTCTCTTTCATGATAATAATAATTTTCAATCTGTGTCTTGTCTTCATATATCATCATTTCTTTTAAAAAACAAAAAATACATCACTTCCCCTCATAGTATGAAGCAGATTTGATGAAAGCAATTGAAGTGGAATGCAACACACAATTGCATTTGATAAAACTCTCATAATCTGACATCGCTTCAAACTTGAAGAGATGTATTTCATGTTCCTCTAAGCTCTTCATGCATATGAACTGTGAGAATTCGAGGACGGTCAAAGGCAAGGAATCCCTCACCCTTATCTCTAGAAATTCAAATAACCCACATCAAAGTTAGAGATCATAGACTCTAAATATAGTAATCAAATTTGATAAGGAACGTAGCAAATCAGAGTTCTTGTAAAAATGTCTTCTTGTGTCTGAGAATCGCTCTTCTCCTTCAGAGCAGATGAGAAAGCTATGAATAAGCTCAATAATCGCCTCTTCTGTTTAAGACTTTTGTTCTTCAGAGGATCTTCTAATCTGCCTGAAAATTCTTTCCCTGGAAACGCAGACACAAACCATCTGCAAATAAGCGAAGGTTCGGGACAGAGGGAAAGAATGTAGCGCCCATACCGTATCTGGACTAGCACCGATGTCAAGGCTAAGGTTATTATGTCAGCAAGGTGACGATGGCCCCACCACGCGCGGGCCAATCAGCAGGTGCTGCCCCTGGTGGATTGCGTGATTTTGCCATGGGATGCTCTCAAGAAGGAAGGAGGGGCCATCAAATTCGTCAAATTCGAGGGCAGGTAGGCGGAGCATGTCAAGGGAAAGCAAATAGTTAAATGCTAACCATTATTTTGTTTGGTTTGTTCGCTTTTAAAATCCCAATTGCCCCCTGCCCTCCGCCCATCTCCCCATCCTCCCCATTCTCCCCATTCCCCGCCAGCTTCATACTCTTGGAATCTCGTTCTTCGAGTTAATACACGACACACGACACCTCGCTCTGCAGACAGAATCCTTGCAAATCGATCTCTTGATCGTTCGCTGTATATTCCTTAATCGTAATCATCCACGTTCACCATGGCTGAAGAACAACGTGCTCCGTAAGTTTCTGCTTCTACTCCCCCCTCCTCCAGCTGCTGTTGCTCTGTGGCCTTTCATCTGACTGGTTGTGTCTTTTCTCAGTCTCCGCCTGGGGTCAACTGCTCCAAATTTCAAGGCTGTCACCACCAAGGGTGAAATCGACTTCCACGAGTTTATTGGTGACAAATACGTCGTTCTCTTCTCTCATCCCGTATGCCTCCATTGCGCTTGTTGACACCCCACCTCAGGAGGGAGAACAAGGGAGGGAGCAAAAAAGAAGCAGAAAAAGGAAAAAAAAAAAAAGAAAAGTCATTGATTGGATTTCCTTCTCCAACTCTAGGATGATTTCACTCCTACCTGCACTACTGAGCTCGGAGCCTTCGCCAAGCTCGAGCCTGAGTTCACTGCTCGTGGTGTCAAGCTCATTGGATTGGTAAGTAGCGTTGCTCCATTGCTGTCCTAGGAAGAGGTCCAAGGGAGAAAAACTGGAAAGAGAGGAGTGGACATTGCTAATCCTTTGTATTCCTTTAGAGTGCCAACACTCTCAAGTCACACTATGACTGGATCAACGATATCAACGAGGTTACTGGATCTGACCTTCAGTTCCCAATCATCGCCGATGCTGATCGGAAGATATCGTACATGTATGACATGATTGATTACCAGGACACAACCAACGTTGACGAGAAGGGTAAGAATAGCTCTACCATCCTTATGATGCATAGTCAGCAGTGCATCATCGTAATATATGCTAATGCTGATGGAATGTTCACAGGGATGGCCATGACCATCCGTTCGGTCTTTATTATTGATCCCAACAAGAAGATTCGGTTGACCATCAGCTACCCTGCATCCACTGGCCGGAATGCTGCTGAGGTTCTGCGAGTAGTTGATGCCCTGCAGACAACCGATAAGAACGGCGTGAATACCCCAATTAACTGGAACGTTGGTGACGACGTTATCATTCCTCCTGCTGTGAAGACTGAGGATGCCATCAAGAAATTTGGCGATATCAGAGTTGTTAAGCCGTAAGTGAACCCGCTATTTGAAAATTTGTGATGCTATCTCGCGTACGCTGACGTATTTCTCTGCTAGATACCTTCGTTATACTACCATCAAGAACTAAAAGACCTGGTCAGCCAGAACTCAAGGCTATGAAGGGAGATTTTTATACCTCCCTGATGATTGATGTCCTAGATTTGCGTTTTCATTTCAGTTTCTTTTTATCCTAGTTTATTCAGAACAAGTTATAATATTTGTCAGAAAGCTTCTAAAAAAATCCTAAAACATCAGGGGGTGTTTAGTAAAATACTACTTTGGCTCCAATACTTCCTGAACTATTGACAATCTACTGGCCTGGCGTGGCATTCTTCAATTGTATCTGCCCACCGCTTAAGATACAGTATAGGCATCTGGCTCACCGGTGGCTCCGAATCGGCCCAGCTCCTCCATGTTAATGTAGGCGATGAAAGGCAAGGTTTGTCATCTTTAAGAGGCTATGATCAGAAACCAGCCGCCCACGGCTGTCCCGTGACTCGTGCAACTTGCCGTGGGGTAGCAGATGTGGATTGATGAATCAGAGACAACCAACCACAAGTCAATGCGCCTGAGGAAGACGCGAGTGATACAAGCCCGGTGCCTGTAGGGCATGGATCGGTGTCTGTACAGAATACATTTGACTAGTCTCTCTATAATCGTTCATTTCAAGGATGAAGTGAGGGGTTGCTGCTTAGTTAAGAAGTCACAAGATGTAAAGTAGTTAACTAGTTAATCCAACAAGCGAGTTGGTAAATCCACGGGCAAATTCCACTAAATTTACTCAGGCTGAGGAGGATAGACTTGTTGAATGAGAGGAGTGCTAAGCCTAGCTAAACAAGCTATAGTGGTTCTCATGCTTCCTTTTGACACTTAGTTAATCCACCTCAAGTGTCCTCACATTTATAAAAAATTTGATCAAATTATTAACATCTGTAAACATAAAATAATTAGTACTACTATTGTGAAAAAGTAATATCAACATATCTTCAATCAATATAAATAAGAGAAGTAAAAGTATTAAAGATCTAAATATTAAATTTAATAAAAAGAAGAAATAACTAAAGAAGAAGCTATTAAAACTGTTATTTTATTTATTAAACATATTGAGCAGACAGTTGTCTCAGCTTCAATCGAGGCGGAGCAGATAAACAGGTGTTTGATTGCCAGCTCGGTAAGCTACTTCAACGAAATACTAAGATGCTCTACGAAACGGGGGCCTGGGGAAGCCTCTGTTTATATACCCCTTTTCCACTAGCGGTTGCTATGCCGTTGCTATTACCCTTTTCGCTCAATGCAGTTTCCGCAGCCATACGCCATCATAGCGCAGAAGCCAGCGCCACAGCCAGCGCAACACAACAGTCACTCAATTCTCTATCTCTAAGATTTTAGAGTCTCTGAAAAATTTACAAATATCACTGAGATGTAGCAATTATGATTTTCTAGATATAAAAGATCAAGATCTATTAATTCTAGTATCATTTAATTTAATTTAGTAAGCGATTATTGGTGTAGATAATTCAGATTAAAGTCTGTAAAATAAGTACATCTATTTTTTGATGACTGATCACTTGTGAATTACATTAACTACTTAGTTTATATAATTTTTCACTGAACTGATCAATAATTTCTAAATAATATATTAATTAATAACTATATTTTAACTTGAATATCTATACTCAGCAGCAAATAATAATATAAGTTAAATTACACTAGCTAGAATGAGAGCATCTGTTCTGTATGTCTGTGTGCCACAATTACTTCTGCTTATGAGAGTGACTTAGACTTTGCTGTCATGCGCTGTCAGATAGCTGAGAAGATGAAATTAACAAACTTAGGAAGCTTTCTTCTCTTGTCAAAATCTCTTCACATTGAATTCTGAAGTTAGATCTTTGCTTTTCTTTCTCATTCACAGCAAATATATATTGATATTTCTGTTACGGCGCAGCTACTTGTAATGGATTAATGTTGATCCGCTCCGATCCCCAACCATATCTGCTCCGAAGGTTGATCCGATCCGATCCTCAACCACCTCTATATATCCGGCTGCTCGCTCATTCCACATTCTAATCCCCAGTTTAGTATTCTCATCGCAGCTGCGTAGTTAGATAGATGAATTGAAGCTGTTGTCTTGACTCTAGATTGAGCCATGACATAATACTAAACTCCTCTTTCTCAAAAAGCCCTGGAGATCGAGTAGGCAGGCCTCCACGTCCACGTCCATGTCCTAGATCCTACGTCCAAGTCCACGTCTACGTCTACGCCCACGTCTGAATGAGCTTCTCAGTGGTTGCGATCGTGCTGAATGCTCGGAGGCCTTTGATAATTTTTGTTCTTATTTATTCTACTTCCTACCTTCATTATGGAAGCATCTCTTGCTGCTCTTCGCCAGGAATTTGGGAATGCTATCCAGGAGCTTCGCAATCAAAATCAACAGCTCCAGGCTGAATGCCAATCTTTACAGACTCCACTGAACAACTCCCGATCCCGTCCGAAGCCCTCACTGCTAGACCCTGAAAAATTCACTGGTCAAACCCTGAAATTTGACACCTGGCTCCCTTCAATCAAAGCTAAACTACGCGTTGACCAAGCTGCTATTGGAGATTCAATCGCCCAGTTTTACTATGTTTACTTGAATCTAGATTCAAGTGTACAAGCAATGGTGCTTCCTCAGCTAGCTCAAGCAGAAGAAGCAGGTAATTGGGATTACAACTCAATTCTTGATCAGCTTTCTCGTGTATATGACAACCCGAACAAGATAATTGAGGCGGAGGACAAGTTACACAGTCCTAAAGCAGGACTCAAATGAATCCCTGGCAGCCTATATTGCTAAGTTTGAACGCATTCTCTATGAGGCCAGAGCTCAGGATTGGCCATATTGCCCTTTTTAAAGCAGAGTTTTAAGGTGAAAAATCTCTGAGAGAATCTTTATTACCTTTGTTTCGAATCCCTGAGAAGGCCACCAAGATGTCGGAAGCTGCTAGAGGACCTGACAGTCCATGGAGATCAGACTGGGACATGATGACCCTGACAGGGGGGAATATGGGGCCGAGGGAGCCCATATCAAAGGAACTGTTTTTTGAGGTACTTGAGGAGGACCCGGAGCGAGTGTATCGAGAGATTGCCAACCTCATGGACGAAGCACGAGGTACCCTAGGCAGGGTTAGGAACGAATGAGATGAGCATAAAAAGCAGGTGGAAGAACTTGACCAGCAGGTGGATAGCCTGATAGAGGAACGAAACACCCTATAGCAGGCTGTGACCTCTTTGGCCTTGCAAGCCAGACCGGCCGAGGTGCAGAAGGCGCAACGATCTGCAAAGCTTGACAATCCTAAGCATCTTACAGATGGAAAGGAACCAATATTTGAGAACTGGCTCTCATGAATGAGACACAAACTGGCTGTGAATGCTGATCACTTTCCTACTGAAGAAAGTCGCATTGCATATGTTGAGAATCGAACTGAAGGCGAGGCCGCGAGACACTTCGCTCCAAAAATGAGAGAAGATCACCCTGAGAAGTTTTGAGACTGCAGAGGAAGTATTTGAATACCTGCAGAGAATCTACGAGGACGTCAACAAGCTCGCGAACGCAAGGGTTGAATACCGAGGTCTGGTATTGAGAAATGGGGATGACTATCACCTATTCGTGACCAAGTTTTTGCACCTGACTGGTGAAGCTCAGGTTCAGAAGGAGGACTACACAGCAGACTTACTTCCTTCATAAGTTTTCATTTGACCTTAAAACGCATGGTCGCTGCTGCCTGTGCCAATTGCATCACCTTTTGTGAAGTTCAAGAGATCTGCGCCAGAACTGCTCACTCTCCAAAGAGCATGCCCAGCTCAAACAATCGAAAATCAACAAGCAGTGGAAACCACTGCCCGAGACACTTCCCAGAGAAGAGAGCCTCAGACGAGAGGATGCGCGAGAACATGTCACTCAAATGGAGGAAATCTGGAGGCTGGCCGTCAACAATATGATAAGGAGCGCAAAAGACCATGGAATTGCAAGCCAACCAGCACCATTGTGAATCAGACTTTGGGTTGGGGACAAGGTCTTTCTATCACTCAAGGACTATAGGATACAATGACCCAGCAAAAAGCTCGCAGAACAAAATGAAGGTCATTTGAGATTATCAAGAAGATTGGCGACAGCTACAGGCTAAAACTACCAGACAGCATGAAGACCCCCCTGACAAGCTGAAAAAAGCTGCAGACAATCCTTTACCTGGACAAGTGAATGTGACCCCAGATCCAGTCAAGATAGAAGGTGAAATGAATGGAGGTTGAGAAGGTGCTCGCAAGCCGCATCTCCCGGGGAAAGCTTCATACCACATGAAGTGGTTAGGCTTTGACGAGGATCCGACGTGGTATCCGGTTACAAATCTGAAGAGGTCACCGCATCTGGTTCGAGAGTTCCACGCAGCAAATCCAACGAAGGCAGGACCCCCAAAGCGACTAAGTAAATGGCTGGAGACTTGGGAAAAGGACAACTACCTAGCGGACGAAGCAGATGATAACCTACCGGCATGAGGGCATGCCTGAGCTTGAAAGGGGGGTAATGTGACGGCGTAGAACGGGCTCCGTCCGGACTACTCGATGGCGTGGGCCACTGGGCTGAAAAGGGTAATTGCAACTGCCTAGCGACGGCATAGCAACCACCCCGTAAACAAATACCCCACAGAAACTGCCTAGCTACGATCCAGCAACCGCGCTAAGGAAAGGGTATATGAACAGACTCTTCCCCGGACCCGTCTTTCAGGAATCATCTTAGTATTTCGTTGAAATAGCTTACCTAGCCGGCAACGAGAATACTAAACTGGTATGAAGAGGTTGTTGATCGGAGCGGATCAACCTTAATCCATATTACAAGCAGCTGCGACCATAACAATATTGTCATGGCTCAGTCTAGGGTCAGGATGATAACAAGACAAAAGCTTCAATTCATCTATCTAACTAGGTAGCTGCGACGAGAATACTAAACTAGGGATGAGAATGTGGAATGAACGAGCAACCAAATATAAAGAGGTGGGGATCGGAGCGGATCAGCCTTAATCTATATTACAAGCAGCTGCGCCGTAATAAATATCTTCTTCATAAGATATTAACTATCTCATACTTACATATTTCAATAATTCAATTAAATATTTTATTAACTTGGAACTTTCAAGTCTTTGTTCTCTATGATTCTTGATTTTATTCATCTAATGATATAATTAACAAAAGTTACTAGATGTTTGAAGAATTGAGAATGACTATGAATATATAAAACTAATTAACTAGTAGAAACAATAAGTATTATAACTAAATAATAAACTTTTGAGAATCTAATTTAATTTGAGATTAAATTAGTAGCTTTAAAGCTACTTGAATAATTTAAAATTTGAGCTTTTTAATAATATGAAAATTAAACTATTTAACTATTTAGTTGTTAATTATTTACTGTTTAACTAATTAATACATATATATATATATTTAAAACTATAAAAATATTGATATTCAAAAGCTATAAAAATTTAAGATAAATATACTAATATATATATAAAAAATAGCTTTTATATTATATATTTAATAAAATTTAGATATAAAATAATTGTTATAATTATTCAAAATAAAAAATAAGTAACTGTTAATTTACTATAGATTTACTACTGAATTAAATATTTTAGAAAGTTACTTATTTTTTATTTAATATTTATCTCATTTGTAATTTAATTACCAAAGAGAATATCACATCATTAATTTTTTAAAGATGTCAAATTAGTCTTTTTGAATATTCTAACCCTTAGTAATAATATATAAAGATGAAAGTTAATCTAAGATACTGATTATGTTAATTATATTTTTTTTTATTTTTAATGCTCAAGTTGTAAAAAATGTTGCTTAATCTTAGCACTCAAATATTGAGAATAACTTTAATAATTGCACAAAGCTCCAATGTAAATTTAATTTTATTAAGTAGATATATGTAAATTGAATCTTATGCTTAGCATTAGTATTCTTTGAAATTTTAAATTAAATTCTAAATAACCTTGTTATTCTTACATTTGACATGGTCATGATTATAGTATCTTAAATAGTGTAACATTGAAACTTCATACAATAATTAATTAGTCTTGAGATTCAGTTGTTGCCAATGTGAAAAAAGTAAACTAATTAAATTTAAAATGCTGTTGAGTAAGAAGATGATTAGCTATATTCTGAAAACAATGCCAGTCATGAGGGTAACCCGTTTAGCAAGGTCTAGAATTCATTTAGCAACTCTATCCTCTTCAATCCTTCGATTTGTGTGATTTTGCACGTATAGTAGTTTGTGAAAGCCGTCCATTTAATTGCTCATATGATGCTGTATAAGAAACATCATGTACCCGCGCAGTTTCATGAATTGAGGTTATTTCTTCACTTTCTAAAAGAGGATGTTGAAGTCTTCCCTCTATATCTAGAGTTTCTTGCCTTTTACCGCGAATTGGTGGCATTCTCACAACGTTGAAGTGGACATACCAGGAAATCGAGGATGTTTTAAAAATGGCGATCGGTTCGGAGGATCGCCGATGCTCGGTGGGGAATTGCGTTTAACTGGTTAGTTAGGTGGATACTTGCAACTGCACTAGTCACGTGCCTCATATCTTAACAAGCTCGGTAGCTAGTTTTACACACAACAACATTATGACAAGGGAGCTGTCAGTTAAGGTGGGCTTTCATGCTGTTACACCTGGCACCGATCAAGTACTGTAGTTACCTCACATCCTTTCATAATATACAGAAAACCTTCTTAGCAGGCAGAACAAATTGAGGGCGTTTGCCCAAGGCTATGTTGCCATCCTCAAGGGTCTGAATGAAAGACAATTCCAATTCTTGTCTATATTTATCAGCAACGGACAGAATGCAATAATAATAATTACACCTGAATCCCTAAAAGGAACCTCCCGTGTCGAACAAAAAGTAAATTTTGACTCCAAGACACGCAAAGACATCGTTATATCGACGTTCCTCGATACCCCCAAAAATCCTTCGTTTTAAGTCATTTTGGTATGCCTGCTACTCCATCTTGACCACAGATCCTTGCTTGTCTGAGGTGTGTTGAAGCTCTGCACCACGGACAAGAAGGAAAACGTCGCATTTCAGCCATGGGTGATCGACGGTCCGACTCTTACGACGGTGAGGTGAAAGAAGCAGATGTGGTGATTGGCGGGAAGAAAATCGATAGCAAAACCGCCCAACAGTTATCGTCATCCGGTCGAAGAGCTCAAGACACGAGAATCGAGAACAAACCAAATAGATCCTTGAATGCAGCTGGTGCGAAGGTGGCTGCTGAGCTCGCTCGTGAAAGAATGGCAAAAGAAGCGAAAGGAGAACAACAGAGAAAGTAGGCAACAAAGTTCTGTGTTTGCGGGGAGAAGGTATATATAAGATGTTGGATTTGTGGGAAGGGACGCGGTTTCTTGTTTCATTCCTCTATCTCACAGGGAGTGCGCTTGGAAGACCTCTAGGAGCTGTTCGTCATACCGCTTTTTGTCCTCGGCTTTTGTAACCATGAAATGCCAGGCATTGTTACTCCAGAAGGTCGGGGCAGCAATATAAAAGGCAGAATCAAACTTGGATACTTCTTCATGGGAGTCCTTGTCATATGGGATTTGGTATCTGGGCCTAATGCGATTGTAGAAGATGTGATGGAGACCCGTAGGGCTATCTAGTGCCAGACAATACCAGAATGTTCCCTTGTTCCATAGGCTTTTCAAAAGCTCCGCATAGGAAGAGAGCAAGGGGGGGGGCATGTCATTGCCTATCGCCGCTGTATTATGGTCCTTCCCATTCCGTGGCTCCTCTGTCATGACCATCTTCTTCTCTTCTTCCTCAAAAACGTCTATAAACTCGTTGCATATCTGGCTATACTGTTCTTCATTGATTCTATCCACCGACTGACTCGTCAGCCAGTATGGAGGGTGTTGCATTTCAATCGGACGGACACATGCCCATTCCAGATCAAGCAGCTTTGTAATGTGCCACTCATCATCAACAAAAAAGTTGCTTCCATGCATATCGGTAAGCGTAAGCACAAACGGTCCTGATCGTAATTTGCGGTCGAAAAAGTCAGAGTAGACGGTTCTCATAGTTGCCAATGCGCACATCTGGCTTATACAGTCTTCTATGCTTGAGGCGCCGTTTGGCTGGTAGCGTAATCGGCTGTCGTGAAGAGACAGGATGTCGTGTATATAGGTGTCCACAGTTGTGTACGTCGTACCCTGTGGCATGATGGTCTCCACGGGGATTTTGTCATTGGCTAATTGGCAGACTTCCAACGTGAATGACCGATTGTTGAGAGTCAAGATAGCGTCGTTGTTGATAGTGAGTGACCCAATTCGCGGAAATGGCTTCTGGAGCAGTGAGAGTTGGATTTTGGCCAAATCCCTGAAAAGGTTTTTTCGGAGAATTCTATCGTGGTTCTGCGCTGCATATGAGTGGGACAGCATCTTTCCATCGTTGACATAGTCAAGAAGTAGATAACCGATGCCGAGCATATGCTCCGGTGCTGAAGTCTGGTGTTTCATATACTGGCAGGGAACAGGATGTTGGAACAGAGATAAGATCTGCCTTCTGAGATATTGGAAACATCTGGTCCAGAGTGGAGCATTTCTAATGGCAGTGAACTACGAACTTTTAGTTAGAACACAGTGAATATGAGTGTGGACTGCCAATTCCTGCGGGAAACTCACTCTCTGACCGGTTGATAACCCAAAACCGTGGAGACAGGCCGTCGGGATGTTGGGACATTCCTGATTAAGCCAAGCATAAGTGGCAGCTTCACATCGAATCTTTTCATCTCCGTTTTCGGGTCCTGCCACCTTATACGGTAGGGGGAAACGCATGAGAACCCGCCAGCTGCTTTTTTGGTTCTGGCTTTGAATAGAGACTGGAACGCAAAGGTTGAAGCTGCCGCTTAACCATTCTGAGCGGTCTGAAATTTCGACGCGATATGAGGCTGGAATCAAATAAAGATGGTGAGCAACAATGGCCTTGATAGTTGCACTATTCTTTTCAATGTGATCTCTAAAGGATGCGGCCAACGTCACATAGGTCAACTCTTGTAAGATATTCGTCGTCTCCTCCTTCTTTGCCTCTGAGAAGGTGATCTGTCTTTCTAGGAGGCTTCTTGCAATTGGCATTGCTGCATTGTTTGGTCAGAAAGTTTGGCCAGGAAAGAAGATCAACCAGAGAGTTCATTCACAGTTTAGTTACTGATTAAGGAATATCAGCTCATCTAACTACAACGTGTGAAGCCAGTCATGGTGAAGCCAAGAAAACAGCACTTTCTTGATAATATTCTTCAATCAGCAATCTTCTCAATGTCAAGCGTTGTGTTCTCTTCGTCTTCGTGTTTCTCGTCTCTGCAAAAGGTTATGGTCCGAAAGTTTCTACTTGCCAAGGGAACTAGGAAAGCCTTGGGCATTGCCGTGGCATTTCCTGTCTCTTGTCCCTGCTTATCTAATGTCCACAGCAGCCCTCATTCCATGGTTTGGTGAACTAAACTACTT